TAAGTCTTGCCCGACATGGGACATCTTCTTGTTGTACGAAGATATTGCTTGGCTCCTCGTTCAAATATTCAATTCCCACAATGCAACAAGTTCTTTCAATCTCGCTGCACAATCAATGGTAAAGTCTGTACCTTTTTCATTGATTCGGGAAGTTGTGAGAACGTTATAGCTGCTGATGCTGTTACAAAGCTTGCATTAAAAGAGGAACCACACCCGTCACCATATAAACTAGCTTGGCTACAACAGGACCACGATCTGATCGTCACACGCCGAGTGCTTGTCTCCTTCTCCATTGGAACTTCATATAAAGACCAGATTTATTGTGACATAGCTCCCATGGATGCTTGTCACCTTCTTCTCGGGAGACCATGGGAATTTGATAGACGCATGATTCATGATGGGTTTCTCAATACTTACAGCTTTACGTTCAATAATTGTAAACTTGTATTGAAACCAACGCCGCCGGAAACCGCAAACACAACTCCATCATCAACCTCAGTTTTGTTTCTTCAACACAAACCATTTGTTACAGCAATGCGAGACGCCGGAATGGTCCTGATTCTCCTCACAAAACCAACAACGGAGTCTCCATTTCGTCACGTTCCAGAAGCCTTTCAACAAGCCATCAACGAATTCTCTGACGTCTTCCCAAATGACTTACCCGACGGCTTGCCACCTCTCCGTGATATACAACATCGTATCGATCTACTTCCAGACGCCGCTTTTCCCAATCGTGCCCATTATCGCATGAGTCCAAGCGAGCACGAAGAGCTCCGAAGACAGGTCGAGGACCTCGTCGCCAAAGGCTTTCTTCGTGAAAGTCTATCACCTTGTGCCATCCCAGCTTTGCTCATCCCAAAGAAAGATGGCTCGTGGAGAATGTGCGTCGATAGCCGAGCTATCAATAAAATTACAGTCCGATACCGTTTTCCTATTCCTCGTCTCGATGACTTACTCGACCAAATTGGATCAGCAACCATATTTTCAAAACTTGATTTGAAAAGCGGTTACCATCAGATTCAAATAAATCCGGGGGATGAATGGAAAACAGCTTTCAAGACTCGTGAAGGGCTGTTTGAATGGCTCGTTATGCCATTTGGGTTATCTAATGCACCGAGCACATCTATGCGCGTCATGAACCAAGCATTGCGTCCATTCATCGGGAAGTTTGGTGTGGTCTATTTTGATGATATCTTGATCTTTAGTACATCAATAGAAGATCACGTGAATCATCTGTCTGACGTATTGAACGTGTTGCGTCGGGAAAAGTTCTATGCAACCCTCAAGAAATGTGAGTTCGGGTCATCAGAGGTCAACTTTCTCGGTTATGTTGTCTCCGCCCAGGGACTCGCTGTAGATCCCGATAAGATCGAAGCTATTAAATCATGGCCGACCCCAACAACGATCACCGAGGTTCGTAGTTTTCACGGTCTCGCCTCCTTTTATCGAAGATTCATCTCGCAGTTAAGTGGTCTTATGGCGCCTATTACCGATTGCATTCGTGGAGTGCACTTTGTATGGACAACGGATTCAGATCACGCTTTTAGAATCATCAAAGACAAATTATGTTCAGCTCCAATCCTAGCCCTTCCAGATTTTTCTTTGGTGTTCGAACTTCATTCAGACGCGTCAAAAACGGGAATAGGTGCAGTTCTAAGCCAAAAGGGACGCCTCATTGCATTTTACAGTGAGAAGTTAGCCGGTGCCCGTTTTCGCTACAGTACCTACGACATAGAATTCTATGCAATTGTTCAAGCCATCAAACATTGGAGGCACTACTTGTTTCATAAAGAATTTGTTCTTTATACAGATCACGATGCATTGAAACATCTGAGTAGTCAAGGGAAAGTGTCTTCTCGCCATGCTGCTTGGATATCATATCTTCAACAGTTCACTTTCGTCATCAAGCATACATCTGGAGCTTCCAATAGAGTCGCTGACGCTCTGAGTCGCAGACATTCTCTTCTCGCAGTTCTTCATACGTCTGTTCTCGGCTTCTCAACCTTTGCTGATCTTTACCCCACGGACGCATTTTTTGGGGATATTTTTCAGTCTTTATCGAATGGAGCATCTCTCACGGACTATACTCTCCACGATGGCTTCCTTTTTCGTGGTACGCAGCTTTGCGTCCCGGCTTGTAGCCTCCGTTTGTAACTCATCGCGGAACTTCACAATGAAGGCCATATAGGTCGTGATCGCACTCTCCAACTTTTCACTTCATCCTACTTCTGGTCTTCAATGCGTCGCGATGTCGAGCGATTTGTTGAGCAATGTGTCGTCTGCCAGACATCAAAAGGTCACTCTTCCAATGCTGGTTTGTACATGCCTTTGCCTATACCTACACAACCATGGACAGACATAAGTATGGATTTTGTTGTTGGACTTCCATGTACTCAACGAGGCTTCGATTCAATCTTTGTCGTCGTCGATCGATTCTCCAAAATGGTTCACTTTATACCGTGTAAGAAGACCACTGATGCGTTGCAAGTTGCTACCTTATTCTTTCGCGAGATCTACAGGTTACATGGCTTACCTATGTCTATAGTTTCCGACCGGGACTCACGTTTTCTTGGTCATTTTTGGCGATCTTTGTGGAAACTCTTCGGAACATCTCTGGATATGAGTTCAGCATATCATCCTCAAACCGATGGACAAACTGAAGTTACAAATCGATCATTGGGAAATCTTTTACGTTGTTTGGTTGGCAAGAGCATCAAAACGTGGGATTCAAAGTTATCTCAGGCAGAATTTGCTCACAACCATGCCTTAAACCGAAGTTTAGGTTTCTCCCCGTTTCAGGTGATTTACGGCACTGTTCCTAGAGCTCCGGTTGATCTTTCAGTCCTCCCGGATCATACTCGTCTTCATGGGGAAGCTGTTCAGTTTGTTGATTCTATTACGCAACTTCACGAGCAAGCAATCACAAATTTGGAGGCGTCTTCTTCGAACTACAAGCGACAGGTAGATAGGCATCGCCGCCGTTTGGTGTTTGAAGTGGATGACTTAGTTTGGGCTTATCTTACGCGCGATAGGATGCCAGCACACGCTTATAACAAGCTTAAAGCTAAGAAAATTGGTCCTCTTGAAGTTTTGGAACGTATAAATGACAATGCTTACCGCCTTCGTCTTCCCGCCGGAATCAATACATCTGATGTCTTCAATGTCAAGTACCTTTCCAAGTTCGTATCAGATACTTCCGATTCAGATTCGCGGTCGAATCCTTCTCACCCGGGGGACCTGATGCAGCATCATCTACATCCTTTCCGCCAACATGAAACATTCAAAGAACTAAGTCCTTTAGCTTTTACATTTTGGATTTTTAGTTTTATTCTTTTATCTTTTGTTTCCTTTTCTTAAAAGATATGTTTAAATCCTTATCTCATTAGGAGTTTTCTAATGACGGGACTATATAAACATATCTATCGCTTTGTAGTTTAGACAAGTTTGATTTAATATAATAGCTTTTGCTTTAAACCTTATTTCGATTTGATTCAATTCATCCAAATAAGAAGTTGTCTCAAGAAGCTAACGAAAGTAACTCTTGATCGATCCAAGAACAGGTCTACAAGAACCCTAAATTCTTAGATCGACCGTTCATCCATTCGTACGCTGCGCCAGAATCCCCTTCTGCGTAAAGTCGTGGAGGATAATCACATGCTTGATCTTCAGAAAAAGCCATTTGATCCTAAAACACATATATATTAATCAGCCGCAATAGAAACAAAACTCAGCCACAACATAATAAATAATTCAGCCACCATATAACGCAGTCGTAATAGAAACAAAACTCAGTCAAAACATAATCAATAAATCAGCCAAAACATAATCGATAACTCAGCCAAAACATAATCAATAACTCAGCCACAACATAATCTATAACTCAACCACAACATAATCTATAACTCAGCCACAACATAATCTATAACTCAGCCACAGTAATCAATAACTCAGTCAAACATAACCAATAACTCAGCCGGATCATAATCAATAACTCAGCCACAACATAATCTATAACTCAGTCGAAATGGAAAACTATATTTTCACAACGTAAATCAAACTCAACTCAGCCACACTATACAATAACTCAGTTACAACATAATCTATAACTTAGCCACAATATAAATCAAACTCAGGCACAACGTACCAGAGAAGATGATGTCGTAGATACGATTGCGTCAAAAAATTTGCGGAGAAGAGGATGTCGACGAAGATGATAGCGGAGACGATTAGGGTTTAACAAGGTCGACGAAGATGATAACGGAGATGATTTACGATATCGGAAACAGTTCTAAACGAGAGTATTAGTTGTGACGAAGATGATTTCGTACTCGATTAGGGTTTAATGAAAGTTGTGATCGAAGGAGTTGTGACATTATGACTTTTTTTTAATTCACCGGAGATATGGAACGGTTGATTTTCCAATGTAAATGTTGATGACACAAATTAGTGACATGGATTGTCTAATTATGATGTGGATTTAATAATTAAAATTTGTATCAATAGTAACAAAATTAAATAAAGGTATTTATTATAGTTTACTATGAATCTAAATACATTCTAGTAATTTTTAGAAAATGTATGTTATTCTAGTAAAATACAACTTTTCTGTAACAATCTAGTAATTTTCTCTAAACTAATTCCTATTAACTTCGATAGTAATTTTCTCTAAACTAATTCCTATTAACTTCGATGTATAATGTGCGTTAATGAAAGTAATTCACAATTCACTTTGACCAAAAAAAAAAAAGGTTCACAATCCACATGACTTGGGGGTATATAAAATAGGAAATTGTTGTCACCCTGAAATCATAACTAAGTAAAAGATATATGAACATTTTCACTCTTACCAAATGTAGAACTCCAATTTATTTACATTGTAAGACTGTCAAAGGTGAAAACTCTTCATCAAATCTTTGACAAGGGGTGGGTAGACTCGAAATGTTTTTTTTTCTTCCCTTCAATCAGCCAAGAGTTAGTAAAGAGTAGATTTTTTCTTTTTCTCATCTCGGAGATGGAGATCGACTGGCCAAGACAGGAGGAACCCCACCATTCTCTGCAGTCTCTAGAGCGGTGTCTGTGTGGACAGGGTGGATTAGGGATTGAACTCTCAAGAAATAGCTCTCGCTTTGTGGTTGGCTTCTTATGTACCGAGCTTCCGTTGTCTCCGTGTTCCCTTGTGAAGGCTGTTGTGTTTCTGAGCTCCGGAGGTTGGATAATGCGCTGAGATCAAGGTCTGGAAAGACCGAGCTTCGGCAACGAGGACATTTGACGTTCAAACGCAGCCACTGGTCTATGCACTCCACATGGAAATTATGAGCGCAAGGTAAACCTCTAACCTGTAAAATTCAGAGAATATCTGCTCATCTAAGGAAAGCATTTGAGACGTAAAAAGCACGCAAGCACAGTATTTGTACCAAAGCCTAGTGTTTAATATCTACAAGGAAAATATGTATAAGAAAGTGATTAGCAATGTTAAAACAAATATGTTTAGTACCTCATGCCCAATTTGGAACTCCTCTAAGCAGATTAAGCATTCGCCGCAATCATCTGGGACAGCTTTTAGCCTGAACCTAGGAAGTTCTTGAATGAGTGCCTCAACAGCTTCTGTCTGTTTATCAAAGCATCAAGTATCAGAAGTTCGGAATCTTGCAAAGGAGATATAGTAAAAGTGTTTGACATAATTGGCATCAAAGAAATTTTTTTCTCTACGGAATATGTACATCAGATACTGGAAAAAATATAAATATCACTATGTGAGAGTGAAACCATGGATAGGGAAGCTTCGAGTCATATGCATGTTAAGGACAAGTTACTAAATGCTTAACGTGCTGAGAAAAAACGACCAAACTTGCCTGAGCTGGAGTCAAGTAAAGTCCAGGATGGTATGTAGCAGCATCTTGACCCATACCTCTCATCTCTTGGCCTGCTGCTTCAAATGCCCAGTCAGGTACCCTAATCATGTCAACTAAAATCTAGACACAAGGAAACAGACATTGGAAAAACAAAAAAAATACTCACAAGCATCAGAAAATAATTGCGGCAAATTATCTTCGTCTATAAAGAAAGTAAAGTTGAATAGGCAGATGCTGAAACTTACACCAAACTCTGAACTCGGAATTCCCTGCTGAGCACGTAGTAAGTGTACCTGTCTTCGCGCCAACCACTGTCAAGTAGAACTCATATAAGTGGCGAGTCCTCTTCAAACCAACAAAAGAAAAGCTTGATGAAAGACTTACCTTTCCGACACAGATGCAAGCAATGCAGAGGAGGCCACAGTAGCTGAACATTAGCCAGATGAGGAAACCCCATTTTTGGCCATCTTCAGGTAACTACCGCAAGTGAAATACAATAAAGCTCAGAAACAGGATTAGCAACAAGAATAAACGTATGACATGAGCATAAGAAGTTCTTACACAGCTTTTAGCCTTTGTAAACCAAATTGTACCGATAACAGTCCAAGCCCAGAGAAAGGGATACAGCAGCAGAGATAGGACGGACAGCACCACCACTCTCCCACAAAACCCAACGTTCCGCTGCTGACTTCCAAAATCCCTAATATAATATTGATAGATGTTACATAATTAACCAGACATTCATATAACTAACAGGATAGAGAAACGTCTAACTCTGAGATCAAGCTAGCAATTCTAAAAGTCAACCCAAAATAGTGTAAGAGTCTCTGAGACTGAAAAGAAAGTTAAATATTCCCTTTCACGATATATGTTCATAATCTTAATCCTTATAAATTACACACTTATCTGAGGAAAAGGTTCATCTTTGAATAACATCTCAAGGAAATTATGAAGATTTCACTAGGAGCTTTAAGGGGAACTTACAAGCCAAGCCCAGCAGCAAGACCATTGTCAACAAACATTAAGACGCGGAAGATAAAGACGGTGGTGTAGTCTACCTGAAGCAGTTAGACACGAAGAAAATCAATGGAAATAACAAAAAAAAAAAGAAGCTGAAGTGAGAAGGCACCAACCACTATCCATATGTGCAAAGGGTACTCGCAGGAACTATACCTCTTCCAGTTGACTGCAACAATGATTCTACAAACGCACAAAACCATCAAGGAAACAAAATCACCTTAAACCCTAGAAAAATAAACAAAATTCTAGTTCCTCAATTCCATGAGAAGAGCATAAAAAATCGGATCTCGGTTTGATATTAAAGGATACACGCTAGTGGCAAGCATGGACAAGAAGAAGCCGTCGTACCTGCGCAACGTTACCCCACACAATCAGATACCAACGAAATGGGAATCGAAAGTCGTCGACTCAAAAGATTGAAGAGATAACTCACCACTTGAAATCGACACCTCTCATCGCCATGAGAGAGAGAGAGCTAATACCCTAAGAAAGATTCGAGATCACAAATGGTTGAATCGAATCAGAAACGGGGCTCAGAATTCTCAGCTGGTGCGGATTTAGGAGCGCGAGTGAGAAAGAAAGGAGAAAGAGGGGATTTTGAAGCCAAGTAGTTTCGACTAAGAAATGTAGAGAGAAAGGAAACCTCTCGCTCAACAAGAAGGATCTGTGTGCTTTGATGCTTTTGACATTTTTGCTTTTATGTCAGGTTTTATCATTAATGTGTTTCTAAGAAATTCGACATGCGTTCCAAATTAGTGTGATCTACATTGAGGTGGTTGGTAAGGATGTAAGTTGTAACTATACAAAATTTAACTTGGAATTCAGTCTGCAAAATTATTTTATTTAATTTCAAAGGATGCAACTTTAAGATTTATTTCTGCAGTAATATATTTCCTACAGCTAAAATAGATGAGGCTAAAAGATGAGGCTTTAAAAGATAAAGTTTTTACATGCATTTTTTTTACTTAATTTTAAAAACCAACTAGATTTTGATATACGCTTTAAAAATGTGAGATATATTATGCTATAAGATTATTGTTTTTATATCTGATCTGGATTTGCAGTCAAACCGGCAATTTCGATGATCCGGTAAATAAATTTGATTTGGATTTTATGAAATATCCATCGTAGAAAAATTGATAAATCTCTTTCAAAATTCTAACTCGGTTACCGGTTATTTTTTTTCTTAGGTTTTTAAAAAAAAACTACATTATTAGAATCATTTTTATAATCCAAAATAAAAATTAAAGTCCGGATATATTTTTTTTTTGTTCACTAAGTCAGGATATATTATGATTCAAAATTAGTGCTTTTTACCCGACCCAATCCACAGTCGAACCCGTAAATCTGATGACCCAATAAATAAATCTGATTTGATTTTTATGAAATATCCATTATTTAAAAATCTGATAATCCCATTTAAAAATCCCAAACCCCCTACCAGTTATTTACTTTTTTCTTAGTTTTTTATAGTTTACATTATTAAAATCTTCCTTTGCTAACGCATATACTCTGATGTATTATAGTATACTAGATTAAATCCGCCCTACAGGCAGGAAAGTAAATAAATTAGTAATATAGTTTTAAAATATTTGATTAAGTTTTAACCAAAAGTAGAATTGATTTTCAACAATTTTAACTATTTATTTTACTATTCATTTAGATATTATATACTTATCTAATTATTATAAATTTTAAAAATATAATTTTTTACTTTCTCTCTTTTTATTCTAGTTTAACTATAATAATAAGTCACATGATTTTTTAAAACAATTTTGTGGTTTTCGTGGTTGTTATAGTTACATGAAATATGTAGTCATGAATCTCAAACTATTAAACAGAAATGATGAAAATACCTCTTTTTTGGGTAAATAGAGGATGAAGATACATATTCTACTCAAATTATACTCTACTCTGAAGGAAAAACACTTGATCATATGCTTGTAACACTAATTAACGTGTGTCAAATCAATTTGTCAATGATATGTTAGTGACATGACATGTTATAGTTTCTCTTGTGGAGTTGTTGATTGCCAATTAACAAATAAGTCTCTGCAAATTGATTTTTTATGCATTTCAAGCAATTTTCCTCTCGGTCTTTGTTGAATTTCTATCCGATAGAATCCAACATAGGTTTACAATCTCTAAAAAAAAAAATTTAAACTTTAACTATTAAAATTTTGAATGAAAATATTTGTTTAAAAAAAGATACTTTGTAAATAATTGTGATGGAAACAAAAACATATTCAAATAATATATTTTGTAATTTTTATTATTTTCGCATTAAATTGTTTTCTTTTACTGGATTCTAACTTTTAAGGAGGAAACATCAAATTGGACTGTTGACTTACTGGTGTAATGAATGTGCTGCTATAGAACATTCGTTCCCGATTGAAAATGTCGTATTAACCTATTGGGAAGTTAACTCAACTAGTATGAATTTTATTAATTATTATCACAGCCATACAAAACTTTTTTTTATTACTATCTTTTTTTTAATACCCAGCGTGCCCTTTTTTTACGTTGCGAGAAAAAACATATTTACGAGAATGCCATTACTTTTTGTGCCACGTAGGCAAAAAATCGGATCCACGTAAGAATGCGGCATAAAACTCAGCCTCAATACGATATGAACTTCGTAACGGCCGAGATATAGGTGCGTTTCGGCTGACTTAACTAACCTAGCTGACTTATGAGAAATAAGCTGAGTTATGAACATAACTCAGTCGATCGTTACGGCTGACTTATAAAAATCTGGCTGGTTTATTTGATAACGGCTGAGTTACAGTCAGATATTACGACTGACTTATACATCCTTAAGCTGGTTCCTGGAAAATCCGACTGAGTTCTAGTTACCAGAAGGCTGAGTTAACTATCGCGGCTGGTTAATTGCTCGTCGACCGGCCGAGTTATGAGATGTTTTTACAGCTGAGTTATATTCAATCAGCCGTCATAAAGTGGAGTAACAATAAACTCAGCTGATTTACGGCTGACTTTTTAGCGAAAGATTAATTACTAGAATAACATTCATTTTCCGGCTGGTTTATTTAACGATACAGCTGACTTCTTGCGTTTCATCTCTGTTATGGTTGATTGTTAACAAAAAGTTAATTACTAAAATAGTATTCACGTTTTGACTGACTTACGGTGTATTAAGTGGCTGACTTATTGTGGCTGGCTTAAATGTTCGTTTGGTGGCTGAATAACTGATTTTCCATGTCATCATCCATGTCAGCTTTTATTTTCCATGTCATTACTAACTACAACAACGAAATTAGGGTTTATGTTACGGACGCCGCTATCTGTTCTTCACCTTCTTCTCTTTCTCTAATTTCTTATGGATCCAGTAATCATTGTTTCAGGTAACTGGATTAAGAAAAACAGATATGTATTCACACCCGACAGTAGAGGATGTATTGTTCTACATGCAGATGAGAAAACAACACACGACGAACTGGCAAAGTCAGTACTCGATGATTACGGATTGAATGAGTCGAGCCATCAGATTCAGCTAAGCTATCAGTTCTCGAATAAAGCTTTGAAAACAATGGCTCACGACACGCCACTAGTTTACATCTCCAATACTCGTCAATTGCAAATATTTTTAAGCCTATGGAAAACCGAAAGATTACGTCTCTGTGTAGAGATTACAGAAAACGAGGATGATGAGATCAGCCGGAAAGACGGAGCGGGAGAAAAGAGTAATATATTATACAGTTTCAGCTCAGAAGCAGAAGTCTCAGAAGTTGAATCTAGATACGATGGTTTTAGTTTGGAGGAGGAACATAACGACAATGAGAATATCTTGGACGGAGAAAAACAGAAAGATGTTGGAGAAGATGAAGAAGGCGAAG